GGCCGATCGACCGACTCGATCGCCTGAAACTGGAAACAAACACGTTTGTTTGAGACGATCGAGTCGGGCAATCAGCCCGATCGGCCGATCCCATCCGTAGTGGGCACCCCGCATTAGCGAGCCTGCACAACCAGTTTAGTTTCATTTCAGTCGGAGTTTTACGGGACTCGCAACACACATAGGTCATGTAAGTGCCGGAGATTTGGGGTGTTACTAGAGTAAGTAAGTAGGTTTATTCAGCGTTTAAGGCCATTGGCCCACATCACATCATATAAAACCCTCATGTTTCATGTATAAAATAAAGTTTCCATAATGAAAGAGTAGTCACACACAAGTACAAAAAATACAAAAAAGAGAAGGAGGACAGATAAAGACAATCTGAGAAGGCCTAGATGTAGACCTATGATAGGAATAAAGAAACAAACCACACTAGAGCGTTTGCAAACCATCCAGGCTTTCAAATGAATGTCGAATCAATTATAAGGCCAGGCAAAGATGTGTACAGTACCGTAACTAGGGGGGCAAAGAAATAGCCACCGATAACTCTCAGTGTAGATACGCAAATATGAATCCACGAATAATACTCAATATCACAAACATAGAGTGAGTGGTTGGCGGGTGCTCTGGTGTGGTTTGCTCCTTCTTTCCTCTTAAACATCTATCGTCCTTACCTCTCCTCCTTCTTTTATATGTTTGCTGTTGGTCTCTTGTAACACCTCTAATCTTCGGCACTTATATGACCTTATTGTGTTGCAAGTGCCGAAAAACTCTTTACTAAACTAAACTAAACAAACATAGACATTCTACACACCTTTGTTGGGCGTCACTGTGTAGCAGCCTGTTTTTTTCAAGGGTTTTATTCTTATTTCTTCATACTCTTCGCAAAAGAAGGAAATCTTATTAGTTTGATGTTTTGTTGTTGGTTGGTTGGGTTTTTTCTAAGGGGGCGGGTCTTGTTTGTTATGTTTTGTTTATGTTTTTGTGGCTGTTGTTGTTGTTGTTGTTGTTGTTGTTGTTGCTTTTGTTGCTGTTTAGGGGTGGTTGTTTTGTTGTGTTTTATTGTTGTTGTTGTTGTTTGTTGGGGGTTATTTTGTCTCTTTTTTGTCTCTAGGCCTACACTATTTAAGAATAAAGCGTTTTAAGTGCTGACAAAACTAGAAGGGGGGGACAACAAAGATAGAGTAAAGACTCGACAACATGCCAGACGAAACACTTCTAGTAATTTGATTCACATTACAGCAGGGGTGCCAAAAGATAAATAATATGGGCTAATTCTAGCCTCCATAAAACTGGCTACACCGTCACAGACGCACTGTATGTCTGACGTAAAAGGTGGGAAATTAAACCGTTGTGTAAATAAAAATTAACAGAAATGGCAGTTCGTACCTGCCCGTAGCTTACAAAAAGAAAAATGCCTTCAACTCAAATTTCATTGCATCAGAATACGAGATATCTTGTCTTGTTTTGAACGAGGTGCTTTTGCTAACTCCCCCGCCATTTATTTATTATTATTCATCTGCCTGCTTGAGACATATAAGGAGAACTGATTTGGAGGGGGGGTGTCAAAAATTTACAAAGCATTAGTGGGCTCTGCACCCTCCCACTCTCCCACACACACACACACACACACACA